AAACTTTGTTTGAATGTATTTGACTTTCATTCGATTCAAAAACATTTTTTTTGAATCTTTATTACTTTCAAGTGATTCAAAAAGATTTGTTTAAATTTATTCATCTTTCATTTGATTTTATTAGCTTCTTTGAATGCATATGACTTTCATTCGATTCAAAAAGATTTGTTTAATTGTGTTTGACTTTAATTTGAATAAAAAAACTTTTTTTAAATGTGTTTGATTTTCCTTTGATTAACAAACCATTGTTTGAATGCATTTGACTTTTATTCGATTCAAAAGGTTTGTTTGAATGTGTTTGACTTTCAATTGATTCAAAAATATATTTTGTAATGTGTACAGCTTTCATTTGATTCAACTAGCTTCTTTGAATGCATATGACTTTCATTTGATTCAAAAAGCTTTATTTGAATGTGTTTGACTTTCATTAGATTCAAAAAGTTAGTGTTTGAAGGTGTTTGACTTTCATTTCATTCAATTAACCATGTTGAATGCATTTAACTTTATTCGATTAAAATAGCTGTGTTTTAATGTATTTAACTTTCATTTGATTCGAAAAGCTTTGTTTGAATGTGTTTGAATTTCATTTCATTCAAAAAGCATTGTTTGAATGTATTTGACTTTCATTCGATTCAAAAACCATTCTTTGAATGTTTATTACTTTCAATTGATTTAAAAAGATTTGTTTTATTGTGTTCAGCTTTTATTTAATTTTAGGAAAAATGAAAAACAATAATCCCACCTTTGCCCGATCTTCTAAAACTAATCCCACTTTTAATTATGTCAGAAATAATCCCACTTTTAATTATGTCAGAAATAATCCCACCTTTTACATCAATCTTCTCTTAACAAGCCCTTTCACTTGTTACTTGTTCTACCGGTTAAATAATTTTCTTTTCTTTTTTTAGAAACATGTCTCCTCTCCACCATCACCACTGCCATTTCCACTGCCAGTCTGCCACCCAACTCTAATGGGCAATTAAAATAAGCCCACCTCCTTTCCAACCACCCTGCACCTATTATTACCCCCCTTACCTCTCCCCAATAGCCACCTCCCCACCACCACCAAAACCACCATCCCTCCTTCAACTAATGCTAACCATCGATCCCCACCAGCCCACTACCCCACCTGGAACTCACCTCCAGCAACAAAATCTATCGTCGCCCAACAACCAAATGAAAAAAACACATTCTCCAAATTTCCACAGTTAATTTAAGAAGATTGAAAATTGGATTTTAGTCGCTAGAAAGCAAACAAGAAACATAAAAATGCATTTATTAAGAAAATAAAAAGGAAATCATATATAGTAGAAACAAAGAGGAAATAAAAAAACAAAGAAACCTGGTCAGGGACGAAAATGGAGGAGTTATAAGAGGAAAAAGAAAGGATTTGTGAATTGTTCATGGCTACTTAGGAGGGTTAAAGTAGTTGGAAATTAATAAGAGGAAAGAGAGACATTTTCACCCCGCATTTCATAGCGACAACATCCATTGTTGTCACCATTGTCACCCAAAAATCTCACCCCGTAACCTCCTCTCTCAACTAATTCAATGCTAGTCCACTATCGTCACCACCATCGCGTCGCCCAATCACAACAATTAACAATGTTTAAATTAACCCAAATCACCAATTGAATTGACGATAAACCCTTTAATTATTAATATAAACAATCCATGTTACCTTAGAAGTTGCTTTAATGGGGGAGAGAAAGCTCACAGGCTGCTCTGATGGTGAACTTGAAGTACATTCAATGGAGAAAAGGGAAAGAAAAGGGGTGAGATTGTTTAAGTGAAAAAGAGGAAAGGGAAAAGGAAGGGGAAGGTGTTGGGTTGGTCAGGCGGCAGGGAAGGGAATGGTCGGCTTCGGCTGGGAGGGTTGGGTTGGTCAGGCCGGCTGCCATGCACTGAGGCTATCTCTGGTGAGGGTAAAAGGAAAGGAAGGGTGGGAGTTTATTTTTTTAATCATCAAAACAACCAATTAGATAGCAACACCTGTCATGTTAGCTTCTCTAAACAGTTGCCAACCTAATAAAACCGATCAAGGCTCGTTAAAAAGAAGATTGATGTTAAAGGTGGGATTATTTCTGGAATAATAGAAGGTGGGATTATTTTTGAAAGACTGAGCAAAAGTGGGATTCTTCTTTTCCATTTTTCCTTGATTTTATTAGCTTCTATGAATGCATATGACTTTCATTCGATTCAAAAAACTTTGTTTGAATGTGTTTTACTTTAATTTGATTAAAAAAGCTTTGTTTGAATGTGTTTGACTTTCCTTTGATTCAAAAAGCTTTGTTTGAATGTGTTTGACTTTAATTTGAATAAAAAAGCAATGTTTTAATGTGTTTGACTTTCCTTCGATTCAAAAAGCTTTGTTTGAATGAGTTAGACTTTCAGTTGATTCAAAAAACTTTGTTTGAATGTGTTCGACTTTCATTTCTATTAATTAACTTCATTGTATGCATTTGACTTTCAATCAATTAAAAAATCTTTGTTTGAATGTGTTTAACTTTCATTTGATTCAAAAAGCTTTGTTTGAATCTGTTTGAATTTCATTTGGTTCAAAAATCTTTGTTTGAATGTGTTTGACTTTCATTTAATTCCAAAAGCTTTGTTTGAATTCTATTAACTTTCATTTGATTCAAAAAGCTTTGTTCGAATGTGTTTGACTTTCATTTGATTCAAAAAGCTTTGTTTTAATGTGTTCTATTTTCATTTGATTCAATTAGCTTCTTTGAATGCATATAACTTTCATTCGATTCAAAAAGCTTTGTTTGAATGTGTTTGACTCTCATTTGATTCAAAAAGATGTGTTTGAATGTGTTTAACTTTCCTATGATTCAAAAATCATTGTTTAAATGTGTTTGACATTCATTTGATTTAAAAAGCTTAGTTTAAATGTTTAAACTTTCATTTGAATTAAAAAGCTTTGTTCGAATGTGCTTGACTTTTCTTTGATTAACAAATCTTCGTTTGAATATGTTTGACTTTCATGTGATTCAAAAAGCTTTATTTGAATGTGTTTGACTTTCTTGAGATTCCAAAAGCTTTGTTTGAATGTGTTTGACTTTCATTTCATTTAATTAATTATGTTGAATGCATATGACTTTATTCGATTCAAAAAGCTGTGTTCAATGTGTTTGACTTTCATTCGATTCAAAAAGATTTCTTTGAATGTGTGTGACCTTCAATTGATTCATAAAGATTTGTATTAGGGTGTTCAGGTTTTAATTTGATTGAATTTCATGTCATTCAGAAAGGTTTGATTGAAAGTATTTATCATTCATTTGATTCAAAAATATTTTTTTGAATCTTTATTACTTTCAATTGATTCGAAAAGATTTGTTTTAATGTGTTCATCTTTCATTTGATTTTATTAGCTTCTTCGAATGCATATGACTTTCATTTGATTCAAAAAGCTTTGTTTGATTGTGTTTGACTTTAATTTGATAAAAAAAGCTTTGTTTGAATGTGTTTGACTTTCCTTTGATTAAAAAACCATTGTCTGAATGTGTTTGACTTTCATTTGATTCAAAAATCTTTGATTGAATGCATTTGACTTTTATTCGATTCAAAAAGATTTCTTTGAATGTGTTTGACTTTCAATAGATTCAAAAAGATATTTTGTAATGTGTACAGCTTTCATTTGATTCAACTAGCTTCTTCGAATGTAAATGACTTTCATGTGATTCAAAAAGCTGTATGTGAATGTGTTTGACATTCATTAGAATGAAAAAGCTTTGTTTGAATGTATTTGACTTTTATTTTAGTCAATTAACTATAAATAATGCATTTGACTTTATTCGATTCAAAAAGCTATGTTTAAATGTGTTTGGACTTCTTTTGATTCAAAAAGCTTTGATTGAATGTGTTTAAATTTCATTTCATTCAAAAAGCTTTGTTTGAATGTATTTGACTTTCATTCGATTCAAAAACCTTTCTTTGAATGTTTATTACTTTCAATTGATTCAAAAAGATTTGTTTTAATGCGTTCAGCTTTCATTTGATTTTATTAGCTTTTTTGAATGCATATGACTTTCATTCTATTCAAAAAGCTTTGTTTGAATGTGTTTGACTTTAATTTGATAAAAAAAAACTTTGTTTGAATGTGTTTTCCATTGCTTTGATTAACAAACCTTTGTTTGAATGTGCTTAACTTTCATTTGATTCAAAAAGCTTTGTTTGAATGTGTTTTAATTTCATTTAATTCAAAAAGCTTTGTTTGAATGTATTTGACTTTCTTTAAATTCAAAAACCTTTTTTTGAATCTTTATTACTTTAAATTGATTCAAAAATATTTGTTTTAATGTGTTCAGCTTTCATTTGATTTTATTAGCTTCTTTGAATTCATATGACTTTCATTCGATTTAAAAAGCTTTGTTTGAATGTGTTTGATTTTAATTTGATTAAAAAAACTCTGTTTCAATGTGTTTGACTTTCATTTAATTCAAAAAGCTTGATTTGAATGTGTTTCATCTTCGTTAAAAACAAAAAGCTTTGTTTAAATGTGTTTGATTTTCATTTCATTCAATCTACTATTTTGAATGCATTTAACTTTATTCGATTCAAAAAGCTGTATTTGAATGTGTTTGACTTTCATTTGAATAAAGAAGCTTTGTTTGAATGTGTTTGAATTTCGTTTTATTCAAAAATATTTGTTTGAATGCATATGACTTTCATTTAAAAAGCTTTGTTTAATTGTGTTTGACTTTAATTTGATTAAAAAAGCTTTGTTTGAATGTGTTTAACTTTCATTTGATTTTAAAAGCTTGGTTTGAATGCCTTTAACTTTCATTCAATTCAAAAATCTTTGTTTGAATGTTTTTTACTTTCATTTGATTCAAAAAGCTTTGTTTTAATGTATTCTGTTTGCATTTTATTCTTTTTTTTTTGGTAAGTAAGCAATGATATTACTATCAAAATCTGTTTAGAATATACAAATATGTAAGCCTGTCAAGCAGGCTACTCCAAAACTACACCAGACCAACAAGCCACACACACCCCTAGGTTCTAGTTCCCAAGGTGCCACCTTCTAGGTAGGGTTCACCAAAGAAACCAGAACACCTATCCAACCTTGAAACCCTATAATCTTCTAGGAAGAACACAGGGAGCCAGGGAAGGAACAACACTAACCAACCAAAAGAAAAACAAAACGTAAACGCCCTAGGAAAAGCTAGTTACATCTGAGGCTATACAACCATTTACAATCATTCCTAGACCGTTTACTACTAATCATTTGCTGGCATCTGCCCAAGACTTCAATCTTAATTGCCTGAACAATCCTGTCTGGGTGAATAATAGCTTTCTCCCAGAAAGCATGATTTTTGGCAAACCAAATCTGGTAAATCACAGCAGTCAACACAGCAAGCAACACATTTTGCCTAGTCTTAATCTTGCACCCATCTTTCCAAATCTTCCAACCATTATCAATGCTATACTGCACAACTGGAATATTAATCCAGCTACAAATCTTGCTCAAGCATTTGTAAATGTAAATGCAATCAAAAAACAGATGATTAACAATTTCAGTGTGCAGACCACAAAGCAGACACCTATCATTTGCACAGGCACCAAACTGAACCAGTTTATCTCTCGTCTTCAATCTTCCCAGCATTGCTAACCAAACCATAAAATAGTGCTTAGGAACATTATACCTGTCCCACACCTATTTAAACCAAGGCACTTTATCCATATGACCTTGTATCCACCTATAACAATCTGCAATTCTATATTTCTTATTTAACCAATTATTACTCATAAACCCATCTTTCAACTCATCCTTCACTTTGCATAACAACTTGCATCCCCATCCTGCATCTTTCTTAGGGACATAATCCCACCAATCTTGATCCTTTATATAAACTGCATGCACCCATTTAACCCATAATGAATCAGTCTTCTTTGCAATCTTCCAAACATAACTCCCCAAGGCAGCTCTATTCCAAGCTAAACAACCCCTGATCCCAAGACCTCCAGCAAACTTAGGTCTGCAAATCCAATCCCATGCCAAGGGGGGGGGGATCTAGTGAGAATAGCTTTCCCATCCCATAAGAAAGCTCTACATAGTTGAACCATCCTAAGCATAACCATTTTAGGAATCAAAATACACTGAGCCCAATAAATATGCAAGCTCATCAGAACTGCATTGACTAAAACAGCTCTAGCACTATAGGATAGATTTCTAGTGCTCCAGTAGTGCAGTTTACTCATCATCTTATCAATCAGAGCATCATAGTCCTTTACTTTCAGATATTTATCATTCAAAGGAATACCCAAATACTTGAAAGGCATCTCACCTGTCTCAAACCCAGACAACATCAAAATATCATCCTTAATCTGTGTGGGAACATTTCCAAAATAGATAACTGACTTATCAGTATTAACCTGCAACCCAGATCTCTTTTCAAAGGTCTTGAGAGCCCTGATTAAAAACTGAACAAAATTCTTATTACCAAAGCAGAACAACATTAAATCATCTGCAAAAATTAAATGATTTAAAGCCAGTTTCTCACACCTTTGATGAAACGTAAAGCCCTTCTTCTTGCATATTTTCCTTAACATTCTTGTCAAATATTCCATAATAAGAACAAAGAGTAAGGGAGACATTGGATCACCTTGTCTTATCCCCTTTTTACCAGCAAAAAAACCATATAGAGCACCATTGATCATAAGAGAGAAAGAGGGAGTTCTAACACATTGCATAATCCACTTCACAAACTTTCCAGGAAAACCTAAAGCCATCAGCATCCCCTCAATAAAGTCCCAACAAACAAAGTCATAAGCTTTCCTTAGATCCACTTTAATAGTACATCTAGGTGGCTTCCTTTCATTGTTGTAACCCTTTAGCATATCTTGACATACCAGAATGTTGTCAAGGATTAATCTCCCTGCAACAAAATCCCCTTGACAAGAATCAATTAGTTGTGGGAGCACTTCTTTCAATCTCTCACAAATCATCTTAGAAATGATTTTATACAACACATTACAACAGGCAATGGGCCTAAACTAAGTCACCATATTTGCATTCTCCACCTTAGGGATCAAAGTGAGAGTAGTATCATTAATCTGCTTGAGAGTCTTCCCATCCACAAAGAAATCCAACACAGCTTTAGAAACATCAGGACCTGTCACTTCCCAGGTAGCTTTAAATAACTTACTAGAAAACCCATCTGGCCCAGGAGCTTTATCATCTTCAATACTCCAAACTGCTTTCTGCACATCTTGTTCACTAAAGTTTCTACACAATCTTTCACCCTGCTCAGCAGTAAGACAGTTGCCTTCACTAATAACATCAGAATGAACACAACCAGTTGCATTAGCTAAAGTTCCCAACAGCCCTTTATAAAAATCCAAGAAAGCATCACACACCTTACTAGGATTAGACACCACACTCCCATATTCCTCTATAATTGAGTGAACACTATTCTGAATTCTTCTTTTCCTTAAAATGGCATGAAAATAAGAAGAATTCATATCACCATCCTTTAACTAGTGAATCTTAGCCTTTTTCTTTAAAAATTTAAACCTAGCTGAATGGGCATCATTATAAGCCTGTCCTGCTTCTCTTTCTGCTAAAATCAATACCTCATTCCTGGGATCTTTTTGCAAATCAGCTTGGATAACAACCAACTTCTTTTCAACAACTGCATCAGCAGTTTCCACACAACTAAAATTAACCAAATTAATAGTCTTAAGCTTCTTCTTGGTTTCAGCAAGCTTCTTAACCACTTGAAACATAGAAGTTCCCCTTACTTCTACACCCCAAGCATCCTTAACATCATCCAGAAAGCTAGGAGCATCCACCCACATGTTGAGGTTTCCTCATTTGGACACCATCTTTCAACCATTTCACCACACATGGGCAATGATCCAGGGAAAAAATTAGCTTGCATATATGGAAAGGTATCCAGCCAGCTATTATTGACTAAGACCCTATCAGTCTTAGTGCTCACTCTATTCAAACCATCCTGCTTATTACTCCAAGTATAAAACATCCCTCCAGCTTTCCAGTCAAACAAGCTAGCATCACTTAGACATTGCCTAAATGGCTCCACCTCAGCAATAGAAACTACAGATCCAACTCTATCATCTAAGTGCAACACATTATTAAAGTCTCCACCCACCATCCAAGGAACCTGCATATTTACAGCCAACTCCCTTAAATGATCCCAAAGCTCCTTCCTCTAAACACCAGTATTCAAGCCATACACCATAGTCACCTCAAAGCCAATACTAGTTGCTTTATGAACAACTGTGCAGTGCACCAACTGAGTCTCAGCCCTAACAACATACACATAAAAAAACTAAGGCATCAAAACCACCCAGATCCTACAAGAATTATGCTTACCATAATTGGCACAAACTGACCAATCATTACCCATTCTAGCAAACACCTTCCCAAACTTATTCCTCTTCACCTTGGTTTCTAGAAGACCAAAAAAACCTATACTCTGCTGCCTCATAAACCATAAGACATCACATAGTTTGCTAGGCATATTCAGTCCCCTAACATTCCAAAAGTCAATATTATCCATCCAATAAACGAGAGCATTCCCCCTCCTCAAACACACTGAACCTGTTAGAACTCTTGTTGAGTTTCCTTTTATCATTCTGAACCTGTGAAATACCCCTCTCTTACTGTCCAAGAGCTATTTCACTTCTAAAACTTTTTCCAACATCAATCCTAGTGTTATTCTGCCCTAAAGCCACATTATCAGCATTACTACCGTTTATCCTGTTCCCATGCACTGGTTCCTTTTGTTGCATAGAGCTCTTCTTAATCACTGGTCTCCATTCCTTCTTTGGTTGGACCTTCTGCTTCATCCAGGCTTGCACCTTGTGATTAGGGCAATGAGGATCAGCATGCCCCATACCCTCACACACCTTACAAACAACAGGTCTCCACTCATATTCTATTTTTTGATTCACATTTTGCCCATTCTCATCCAAAAACTCAATATGATCCGGCAATACAACATTGAACTTGAACTCCACCATTATTCTAGCAAAATCCAACCTCTCCTTTGTAGCGGTTTCCTTATCAGTTCTGACAGGTTTACCCACCAGAGAAGCCAATTTCATTAAAGCATTCTGCCCCCAAAACTTCAAATCTAATCCTGCCATTCGAATCCAAACTGGAACCTCATCAATAGTTTCCTCAGCAAGATTCAACCCTGAGACCATTTCTTCATGATCACCGGTATCCTATCAAAGAGGACAGGTCCAGCTCCTAAAGCCTTGTCCCTCCCATCAACATATTTAAACCGAACCAAGAAGACCCCATTTGACATTAGAGACACCTTGTCCACCCCAAACTTACCCCTAACTCTTCGAACAAACCCATTAATGATTGCCAGAGGTGGCTTGGCACATAAAATGTAGCACACAAGAGCTGAGTTCCAAAAGTCAACCTCAGGTTGCACATCATCAATAGTTATCTGAATCTTCCCAGACTCATTCTTACCACCAACATTCGAAGCTAACCCCCCCCCCCCCCCCCGAAAAAATTCATTCCCTCATCATTAGTGTTTCGAAACAAATCATGTTTCAAGTTCAATTGAATAGGAGTAGGATCACGAAAAGCAGAGGATTGGATTTCAGGGTTCACAATAGGTGTCACAGAATTTGGGGAAACATTATTCATAGTAAAATTAGAATAACCAAGCATCTATAATGGAGTTGGATTGTCATACTCAAGCACACTTGCACAACATGCATCAGTTTTAAGGTTTTCATCAATCGCGGAAGAAGAAGAGTGAATTACCTCAATCCATCGATTAAACTCCTCCTGGTCCAATACCCTATCCTCCTCAGTCACCTCCATCATCGAAGCTTCATTCTCCACTATCTCCTCAAGCCAGCTTTATATAGAAACATCTTTTGAGACCATACTCTGTTCTTTCTTTTTCGTGATATTTCTCGTTCTGGGCCCAGAAAACTGCTTTGCTTTGTGCTTTTTCTTAGATTTTGATCCCGAATTCTTGCTTCCCTTCCCCTTTTTCCTCTTAGCCATGGAAATCGAGCTTGAAATCGTAGATCAAAATAGTGGGTTTCTATCGGCTTCTATCTTTCTCTCTCTAGATCTTGAGACTTTCTCTCTCTAGATTTTATACTGTCATTTGATTCAATTAGCTTCTTTGATTGCATATGACTTTTATTTGATTCAGAAAACTTTGATTGAATATGTTTGACTTTCATTTGATTCTAAAAGTTTTGTTTGAATGTGTTTCACTTTCATTTGATTAAAAATTCATTATTTGAATGTGTTTGATGATCATTTGATTCAAAAAGATTTGTTTGAATGTGTTTGATTTAGATTTGATTCAAAAAGCTATGTCTGAATGTGTTTGACTTTCATTTGATTCAATTAGCTTCTTTGAATGCATATGACGTTCATTCGATTCAAAAAGCTTTGTTTGAATGTGTTTGAATTTCATTTGATTCAAAAACCTTTTTTTAAATGTGTTTGACATTCATTTGATTCAAAAATCATTGTTTAAATGTGTTTGACTTTCATTTGATTAAAAAAGCTTTGTTCAAATTTTTAAACTTTCATTTGATTAAAAAAACTTTCTTTGAATGTGTTTGACTTTCCTTTTTTAACAAACCTGTGTTTGTATATGTTTGACTTTCATTTAATTCAAAAAGCTTTGTTTGAATGCATTTGACTTTCATACGATTAAAAAAAGCTTTTTTTTGAATGTGTTTGACTTTTATTTGATTCAAAAGTTTTGTTTGAATGTGTTTTACTTTCATTTGATTCAAAAATCATTGTTTAAATGTGTTTGACTTTCATTTGATTAAAAAAGCTTTGTTTATATGATTTAAATTTCATTTGATTAAAAAACCTTTGCTTGAATATCTTTGACTTTCCTTTGATTAACAAACCTTGGTTTGTATATGTTTGTCTTTCAATTAATTCAAAAAACTTTGTTTGAATGCATTTTACTTTCATTCGATTTAAAACTTTTGTTTTAATGTGTTTGACTTTAATTTGATTCACAAAGCTTTTTTGAATGTGTTCGACTATCATTCGATTCAAAAAGCATAGTTTGAATGTGTTTGACTTTCATTCGATTCAAAAATCTTTGTTTATATGTGTTTGACTGTCATTTGATTCATAAGGCATTGTTTGAATCTGTTTGATTTTCATTTGATTTAAAAGGCTTAATTTTAATTTGTTTTTATTTTCATTTGATTCTATTAGCTTCTTTGACTGCATATGACTTTCCTTCGATTCAAAAGGCTTTGTTTGAATTTGTTCGACTTTCATTCGATTCAAAAAGATTTTTTGAATGTGTTTGAATTTCATTTGATTCACAAAACATTATTTGAATGTATTTGACTCTCATTTGATTTAAAATTCTTTTTTTTTTTGGAAAATATGAGAAATTTTATTACCAAAAGGAAAAGTTACAACTTACAAGAGCTAAGTTATATCAAACACCAAACTCCACAAGACCTGTAAAAACAGGCCAACCAATTACCAAACAGTTCAGGCTTAATGTCCTGCCACCTTCTAGGAAGGGTTCACGAGAAAGAGACAAGAACAACGTGAGCTCAAGCTTCCAGCCACCTTCTAGGAAGGGTTCTGGAAACTAAGCCTAGGAACACAAAACAAACACAGAGCAGGACAAACCTTCAAACAAGAAACACCACTCCTACAAACTGTAAAAAAGAAAACCTCCACCTAGACTCAGCTGCAAAAGCAGCAGCACTAGACAACAGAAGGTAAAAATCTTTGTTTAAATGTGTTTGACTTTCATTTGATTAAGAAAGCTTTGTCAAAATGTTTTAACTTTCATTTGTTAAAAAACCTTAATTTGAATGTGTTTGACTTTCCTTTGATTAACAAACCTTGGTTTGTATATGTTCGACCTTCATTTGATTCAAAAATCTTTGTTTGAAGGCATTTGACGTTCATTCGATTCACAAGCTTTGTTTGAATGTGTTTGACTTTAAATTTATTCAAAAAGCTTTATTTGATTGTGTTTGACTTTCATTAGATTAAAAAATCTTTGTTTGAATGTGTTTGACTTTCATTTGATTTAGTTAATTACCTTGAATACATTTGACTTTCATTCGATTTAAAAATCTTTGTTTGAATGTGTTTAACTTTCATTTTATTCAAATAGCTTTGTTTGAATGTGTTTGAATTTCATTTGATTATAAAATCTTTGTTTGAATGTGTTTGATTTTCATTTTATTTTAAAAGCTTTGTTTAAATGCATTTAACTTTCATTCGATTCAAAAAGCTATGTTTGAATGTTTTTGACTTTCTTTAGATTCTAAAAGCTTTGTTTTAATTTGTTTTGTTTTCATTTCATTCAATTAGCTTCTTTGATTACCTATGACTTTTATCAGATTCAAAAAGCTTTGTTTGAATGTGTTTGACTTTCATTTGATTATTGTTTAATGTGTTTTACTTTCATTTGATTCAAAAATAATTATTTGAATGTGTTTGAGTATCATTTGATTCAAAAAGCTTTGTTTGAATGTGTTTGATTTTCATTTGATTCAAAAAGTTTAGTTTGAATGTGTTTGACTTTCATTTGATTCATTTAGCTTCTTTGAATGCATTTGACTATCATTCGATTCAAAAAGATTTATTAGAATGTATTTGACTTTCATTTCATTCAAAAAGCTTTGTTTGAATGTGTTTGACTTTCATTTGATTCAAAAATCATTATTTGAATGTGTTTGACTTTCATTTGATTCAAAAAGCTTTGTTTGAATGTGTTTGACTTTCATTTGATTCAAAAAGTTTTGTTTGAATGTGTTCGACTTTCATTTAATTCAATTAGCTCCTTTAACTGCTTTTGACTTTCATTCTATTCAAAAAGCTTCGTTTGAATGTGTTTAGCTTTCATTTGATTCAAAAAGCGTTATTTGAATATGTTTGTCTTTCATTTGATTCAAAAAGCTTTGTTTGAATGTGTTCGTCATTCTTTTGATTAAATTAGCTTCATTGTATGCATTTGACTTTCATTCGATTTTAAAATCTTTGTTTGAATGTGTTTAATTTTCATTTGATTCAAAAAGCTTTGTTTGAATGTGTTTTAATTTCATTTGGTTCAAAAATCTTTGTTTGAATGTGTTTGACTTTCATTTGATTCTAAAAGCTTTATTTGAATGCATTCAACTTTCATTCGATTCAATTATCTTCTTAAATGCATTTGCTTTTCATTCGATTCAAAAGCTTTGTTTGAATGTGTTTGATTTTCAATTGATTCAAAAAGATATTTTGTAATATGTATAGTTTCATTTGATTCAACTAGCTTCTTTGAATGCATATGACTTTCATTTGATTCAAAAAGCTTTATTGGGATGTGTTTGACTTTCATTAGATTTAAAAAGCTTTGTTTGAATGCGTTTGACTTTCGTTTCTCTCAATTAACTATGTTGAAATAATTTGACTTTATGCGATTAAAAAATCTCTGTTTGAATGTGTTTGACTTTCATTTGATTTAAAAAGATTTGTTTCAAAGTGTTTGAATTTTATTTCATTCAAAAACCTTTGTTTGAATGTGTTTGACTTTAATTTGATTAAAAAAGCTTTGTTTGAATGTATTTGACGTTCCTTTGATTCAAAAAACTTTGTTTGAATGTGTTATACTTTTAGTTGATTCAAAAACCATTATTTGAATGTGTTCGACTTTCATTTTAATCAATTAGCTTCATTGTATGCATTTGAATTTCATTCGATTTAAAAATCTTTGTGTGAATGTGTAAAACTTTCATTTGATTCAAAAAGCTTTGTTTGAATGTGTTTGAATTTCATTTGGTTAAAAATCTTTGTTTGAATGTGTTTGACTTTCATTCGATTCTAAAGATTTGTTTTGAATATGTTTGACTTTCAATTTATTCAAAAAGCTTTATTTGATTGTGTTTGACATTCATTAGATAAAAAAATCCTTGTTTGAATGTGTTTGAATTTCATTTCATTCTATTAACTATGTTGAATGCATTTGACTTTCATTTGATTTTAAAAGCTTTGTTTGGATGTGTTTGAATTTCATTAGATTTAAAAAGATTTGTTTGAATGTGTTTGAATTTCATTTCATTCAAAAAGCTTTGTTTGAATGGGTTTGACTTTGTTTGATTCAAAACATTTCTTTGAATGTTTATTACTTTCAATTGATTCAAAAAGATTTGTTTTAATGTGTAGAACTTTAATTTTATTTTATTAGCTTTTTTGAATGCATAACTTTCATTCGATTCAAAAACCTTTGTTTGATTGTGTTTGACTTTAATTTGATTAAAAAAGCTTTGTTTGAATGTATTTGACGTTCCTTTGATTCAAAAAACTTTGTTTGAATGTGTTATACTTTTAGTTGATTCAAAAACCATTATTTGAATGTGTTCGACTTTCATTTTAATCAATTAGCTTCATTGTATGCATTTGACTTTCATTCGATTTAAAAATCTTTGTTTGAATGTGTAAAACTTTCATTTGATTCAAAAAGCTTTGTTTGAATGTGTTTGAATTTCATTTGGTTCAAAATCTTTGTTTGAATGTGTTTGACTTTCATTCGATTCTAAAGATTTGTTTGAATATGTTTGACTTTCAATTTATTCAAAAAGCTTTATTTGATTGTGTTTGACATTCATTAGATAAAAAAAGCCTTGTTTGAATGTGTTTGAATTTCATTTCATTCTATTAACTACGTTGAATGCATTTGACTTTCATTTGATTTTAAAAGCTTTGTTTGGATGTGTTTGAATTTCATTAGATTTAAAAAGATTTGTTTGAATGTGATTGAATTTCATTTCATTCAAAAAGCTTTGTTTGAATGGGGTTGACTTTCATTTGATTCAAAAATA